TTTCAAACTTCATAAATAATTCATGGTTAGTCAAATGCTTTTTTGGATGCTTGTTTGCTAAACATGTTTATAGGGGAAAAATCTTTATGCGCTTTAGTGTCATTCCACTTATTGTAGGGTTACCACTCAAGAAGGTAGCCTTAATCACCTGGCAAAGCGTTGCGGTAGTAGACGGGTCTGGTAGCATTGACAAGCAGAGGGCTTCCTGAGGCTCTGTCAATGGCTGCCTGGCAGGTGTAGTCGCCGGACGTGTACTCGTTCAGTTCAGGAATGATCAGTCGTTCGCCCTGCGAATGATAGCGCCCTTTGAAGTACCAAGTGAAGCGGACAGGGTAGCGCGGCCTTGGCTGAACGCGACATTCTGCGAGGTAGGGTGCCCGGTGTTCTATTCTCTGTGTCAGTGGTTCAATGCTTACCCAGTAGGTCTGGTCGTCTACAAAAAGGTAAAGACCTTGCCATGGCACCGTTCGATGCAAGGCCACGTGTGTAGCGCAATAGGGTCTTGCAGCAACAAAAGGGCGCGTCTCAATGCTCACCTAATAATTATGCTTAAAGTGAAGCAATAGCAATTACTGCATAACATACATGTTATTGCTTGATTTGCATCCATGACTATAAGGCTTTTAGTCGTCTGAAAGGACGGCATCCGTCTGGAATGTTTTCGTGCCTTATTTCGAGCGTACAAGGTCAATAACTAAGGACTTTACCCTGAATTAGTCTGGGTATTTCGGACGAAATACCGTACTTTTGTATAAGCAGTCGAACGTTTTTATACATCACTTTACTTAATAAAAGACTATATCGCATGCATCACAGGCAACAGACAGCAACATTAACCAACCCAAGTTATGATAGTTTGCTCTTTAACGATTATTCCGTTGCAGATTATATATATGAATTCGGCAGTACTGAATGATTTCCTTCTACTTAAATTTACAATGAGTGAACGTGGAATATGAGGATTAATCCATTTATTTTGCTTCTAACGTAATCCTCAATTTGGCGTTCCAGATTTTCTTACCCTTCCAAGTAAGGAAAATATCACAAAAGCATCCGTGGTGACCTGTAGTAGCTCTGCAACAGTGATATCAATTGAAAACAACGGCACTATCAGGCTTTGTTAGGCCATCAGTTGTTCAGTCTAAAATTAACTGTACCACCATGATTTGAAGCTCATTCGTAAATTATCCGTATTTCTGGGTAAGATCTATAGAAACATTATTATTCTGGCCAAATTATGAGAACTTTACATTGCTCACTTTCATTGCCGAATAAAGGGAAAATGAGCCACAGCGATGTTTTTTCGAAGCACACGTTCGAAGCTATGTGTATTGGTTGTTCAGCTCAAAAGGTATACTATTACGTTTTATATTTTAA